TCGGCCCCCCCTTAGGGCGGGGGAGGCCCCAAGCGAGTCCCCAGCAGCAGCTGCCCCTGGCTGTGCCCGTCCCTGCATCGCCCCCTCCACCCCAGGAAAGCCCCCGTGTCTGGGCACAGCGCCCCGCCCGGGGGGGAGGCTCGGCTCGGCTTTAGCCAGCGGGCAGGAGTTAGTTCAAGCACTGCAGCCCCGAACCCTGGCACGCCTCCTTCCACACGGGGCAGTTTAAAGTGGCATAGAGCCGTGCACGTCTGTTAAGTCACGGCCATAAAACGCTTTAAATGGGCGGAAAAAAAAAAAAAAAAAGCAACTTGTGCACAGAGCCTAGGGCACCAGCCGGGACGAGGGGCACACGCGCACCGGGCAGGCGGTGTTTAACATGAACACCGGGGAGGTCTTTCCCCGCTATTAAAGGGGGAAACAGGGGGGCATTAAAGGGGGGCTCGTGGCCCCAGTGGCAGTGGGAGCTGAGAGCTCAGCCACATGCACCAGGGCTTGGACACGTGCGTGGAGGAAAGGGGCATCGATCGGTGGCGCTGGGGCAGGGAGCGAGGGGCATGGCCTCCGCACCAGCCCTGCCTGGACCCGTGCTGGGGGCTGCAGGGAGAGGAACGGGGGACAACCCTGCTCGGACCTGCAGCTCCGCGGGACATGGGATGGACCTGGGATCTGCTGCAGTCCACGGCGGCTCTTACATTCTTGTGCCTGGCCCTGCTGGCCGCACCGACCCCTCCCCTGTGCCCCGGTCCCTGCTGGCGCTGCCCACCCCGTCCTCCCCAGCACATGCAGAGCGGCCCCTCCGCCCCCTGCACCGTTAGGGCGCGTGGGGAGGCTGCCCGCAAAGACGGAACCGGTCCAGAAGGACGGGGCAGGGTCAGAACTGCCCGGGTTGGAGGCTGCTTGCCCAGACACCCAGCACCCCCCTGCCCTTACACTGGGACCACAGCAGCGTTCCCCAGTCTGCCCCATTTCCCAGGGCGTGTTGGCTGTTGACGAAAACCACACACCAGGGTCTCAAGGACTGGCCTTGGGAGCAAGGCAGCGATTTCTTTACCCAGTGGGAAGTCACTCCACATGCCCACGTCCCATCCTGCACCACCCCCACCCCCAGAGCCAGGCCACGGTGCCCACAGCACCGGGGCTGAGAAAAGAATTGGGACACTTTTAAAAAAGCTGCTGTGGTTTATTAGTTCCCTGACAAAACCAAACTAAACACTGTACAAGAGGGCAGAGAGCTCCAGGAGGTGACGCCGTACGGCCCAGCCCGCGCCCAGCCCCTGGGGCTCACTTCCAGCCCAGGATCTCCTCGGTGGCCAGGCGCATGAGCCGGTGGAAGTCGAAATGCAAGTATCTCCTCCAGAACCGGCGGTCTCGCCCGTAGACCTGCGCGGGGTAACACGGGCTCCCTGCGCAGAGGGGCCGAGCGTGAGCCCTTCTTCACCTAGTGCCGGGCCCAGGCAAAGGGGCCAAAGCTTTCAAGCGGCCAGAGCCGGGAGCACAGGCAGCTGCAGCCCAGTTGTGCCAAGCCCAGCACCAGGGCAAGGCAGATATCGCCCCATCCCACTGGGGGCTCTAGCAGGCTGTACTGATGGCCCTGGACCGATCAGATACGGGGGGGCTGAGCCTAGCAGCTCTGAAAGCCTGAGTCTCAGCTGCTGGAACCGGGGGAGGCAGCAATGGGGGCGGCTGCTGTGGGAGACAGCTCCCAGGCCGTGGCTGGAGGCGCTGGGGAACGGGAGCTGCCCGCTGCATGTGCAATGACTCCTCCCCGACAGCGCCCTGCTTCTCTGGTGCACGGGTTAGACCTGAGTTGGGGGTGCTGAGGGCAGAGGGGAAGTGCACAGCTCCTTGATGGGAGCTGCCCAAGACATGCATGTGTGCGGAGAACCAAAAACCTTTAAAGGAGTCGGGACCTGGAAACGAGGATGGGGTGTCGCGGAGGCTGAAGCAGGGGCAAAGGGGGCTGCCTGGGATGCTGGGGGAATTGTACTGGGCGAGCGGCCCAGGGAGGGAGACGGGGCCCCGGCCCCAACTCACCAATGCCGTGGAATATCCTGGCGATGGCTCGGCCGGAGAACTTCTCCTCGGGGCGGATGGACAGGAAATGCCGGATGTCTGCGCGGACCTGGGCTCCCCAGTCCTGCAGCTGTGGAGCAAACGCCGTGGTGCTGAGCATCGTAGGTGGGGGGAGCTTTGGGCACAATCCTGCTGCACCTGCAGAACTGCTCCCACCCCACAGATCTCCCTCCTCCTGCAGCTGCCCGGTGGGAAATGGGCCCCCAGCACTCAACCTGCTGCTCTCAGGACGCAGGCAGCTGGGTCTGGTCTCTCCTCCACACGCCCAACACAGCCAGGCTTGGGAATGAGGCGCTCTCCAGTTCAGGAGATGAAGGCGCCTCTGCCTCCGAGCACGGACGCGGCAAATAAACCCTCCACATGGCCCTCACAGGCTCCGTCAGCCCCCAGCAGCAGGCAGAAGCGGCTCCCTGTGCCGCAGCAGACCCAGGACACAATGCTGAGGGCTGGTCCCGGCTCTGACAGCAACATCCCCCTCGACTTGGGGGCAGGCAGCAAGAACTCACAGAACCAGAGCCGTGGGGCTGGCAGGGAGCTGCGGGGTCACATCCAGTCCCAGCCCAGCCTGAGGCAGGCTCAGCCCCGTCCAAACCAGCCTGGCCAAATCCATGTCTGACCTTGGAGTGACGTGACAGTCACCCCTGACACAGCCCCAGGCATCGCCCCTGCCCCGGGGATACAGGGGGGCCGCGGCCACCAACGTCCTGCTGCTGCCAGGGGGGCCGTGTACCCTCCAGAGAGCCCAGGTCGGGGCCGTGCCCCCACCGCAGAGGAAGGCAAAACCCCACAGTCCAGACCAGTCTGAGCAGGGGGGAAATCCCTTCCTGTGCCAGTGCAGCGCAGGGCTGAGCCTGAGTGCGGGGGCAAGACCCTCCAGCCAGGACCCAGCGTCTCTGGGGGAGGCTTAAAACCCCCACAATGTATGTAGCAGAAAGATGGGGGGGGGGCAGGATTCCTTCCCAGCCCCATGCAGCAACCAGCACAGCCCAGAAGCCTGGGACATCCCCACAGCAGAGCACGGGCATCGCTGTGCCTAGATCCTCCCCGCCCAGTGCTCGTCCACCCTCTCCTTGACAGAGTCCCCCCTTCCCTGGAGTCTCTTCCACGCCTTGCTGTTCGAGCAGCCCTGCTCCCCTACAACACCCCCCGCCCACGCCTGCACGTGAGGGACTGGCTGAGAGCGCCACACAGCTAGCGTGGCCTGCCTCCCTGCAGAGAGGAGAGCACGGGCACCCAAGTGACCCATCCCTTGGGCAGAAAGAGGACCCAGGAGCTGGATCTGAGCATGGGTCCAGGCTGCCAGCGTCCATCTCTGATCAGGACAGCTACTGGCTGCTTTGGAGGACGAGGATGAAAGCCAAGCAATGTAGAGTGACCTGTCCAGTCCTGCCCTGCAAGGCAGCCAGAGGAGCCTGGGGAGAGAAGCCCCAGGGCCGAGGAAACCAAGCTCCCTGCCTGCTGCCCTCACCTTCGTGTCACTGAGGTCGTCCTCATCCACCTCCTCCTCATCCCCTTTGCAGGCTGGCTCAGCCCCCTGGGTCACAGGCTCCTTCTCAAAGTAGTCCTTCAGCAAGGCCTTCAGCTGGGCGCTCTTCTCCTCGGCCCCGAGCTGCGAGGGCAGGTCCCAGGTCTGCAGAGCCACGCTGCCAGGGAAGGAGCATGAGCTGGGCTGGGGGTTGGATAGGGGAGGGGACAGGTGCACCTGCTCCCATCTCCCCTGCCCCAGTCGTTCAGGACCCGGCTCAAAGATCCCTCCCCGTGCTTCCCCGAAGTGCCCAGGAGTGCCCCCACCCCAGCAGCTCAGCTCCTGGCCCCTGCAGAGGATACAGGGTCTGGGTGCACTGGGGGGGCTCTTGCCCTGACCTTCGCATTCCCCTCCCATGAGCACCCAGCAGACTCCAGTGCCCCATCCTGGCTCCCCAGTGCCATGCTCCACCGCGGGCTCCCAGGGCCTGATGTTACATCCCAGGGGTTGGAGCTGGGTGAGACACCAGTGCCTGGCCCCATGCAGATGCCCTGAGAGAGGCAGCACGCATGGAGGGGCTCCCTGTGGCGTGGCCGGCGCTCACCGCTGGAAGGCGCGGAAGCAGGCTTGCAGCTGGTGCAGGGCGGCCGCCTCACGGGCGCTCACACGGCGATGCAGGAAGTCACACATGGCATCCAGCTCTGCGGGCGTGAGGTCGCCGGGGGAGCGCAGGTGGAAGGATGGCTCACTGAACTCCACCAGGACCCTGCTCCTGCCACGGCCTGGGGACACGGATGAGCACAGGTGACTTTGTGACGCGGGTGCAGCTGCAGCCCCAGCCCCGTTCAGGGAGCCCAAGCAGCCAGGGCTCCGCACAGACCGAGAGGAGCTGCAGCCTCCGGCAGCTCGGCCCTGGGTACAGCTGCGCCCAGGCATGTGACAGCTGCAGGCCTGGCCCTTGCAGAGGACATGGGGTCTGGGTGCAGTGGGGAGGGCTGAACACTGCACTCTGTTCCCCCCAGGACCTGGCAGCCCCTCACCTGTCTGCAATGTAGGGCTCCACTGGAGCTGGCGCAGGGCTCGCTTCACGGGCACCACCTCCCAGCCCATGGAGTCGCTCAGCGCCACCACGTCAAACTCCACGGAGCTGGCCTGCATGTGGTCCCTCCCTGCCAGGCGCTCCTGGGCCAGGAACACGGCCACGGGTGGGCAGCTGGGAGCAGGGGGCAACAAGGAAATTGGGGCGGGAAAACAGCAGAACCCAGAGCCAGCACCAGAGAGCAGGGGAGCAGCCATGGAGCCACAAACGCCGCCAAGTGTTGCCCTCCTGGCATAGCCCTGGGCTCGACCTTTTACCAGAGCTCCCAACCTCACTGGGGGAGGGGACAGAGGAGCTCACTTGTGCAAGGAGCTTTGCACATCTATGTACTTGCACAGGCTCTGCCTCCTGCCCCCACCCTATGGGCCCCGTGCCCCGCACCCGCCTGCCCCCAACACTCCAAAGGAAGGGCA